TAAAAATTTCGTAGTATTATACAAGATTTGAGAGAATTTTCCGATGTTTGGTTGAGTTGTGAAAGAAGTTGACGGATATTTCAAGCTCACATTTCAGTGCACTTCACGCTCACGCTCTGCTCCGCTGTGCTCGCAGGGGCCGAGAACTGCCCGCACGACTTCCTGCGCGTGTACGACGGGCGGGACGAGCGCGCGCCGCTGGTGGGCGTGTTCTGCGGCATGGGCCGCTTCCCGTACTCCATCATCGGCACGGGCAGCGCGCTGCTCGTCGAGTTCGTCACGTCGGCGGCGGGGCCGCTGCTGCACTCGGGCTTCCACTTCAACGTGGGCTCGTGGCCGGGCCGCAACCAGACGGCGGCCGCGCGCCTGCCGGGGCCCTGCTCGTGGCGGCTCAGCCAGGCGGCGCTGCGCAAGGCGGGCGACCAGGAGGGCGTCTTCCTCTCCGTCGTGCACTGGTACCCGCCGCACACCACCTGCACGTACCTCATCCAGGGTGACCCGGGCCACGTCGTGCGGCTGTCGTTCCCCAGGTGAGCCGATTGTCTACTATACCTACCTTTGCCTCTGCCTTTGCCACTCTCCTCTTTGCTGACGACTCTGCTTTTTCTGTCTCGCGCAGCTTCCGCATCAACCGGATCGAGTCGCCGATGGAGCCCTGGGAGGGCGACTGCGGCGAGTCGCTGACGCTGTACGACGCGTCCTGGCCGGACGACACCAAGATCATCCGCACCTTCTGCGACACCTTTTCGCGGCCGCAGGAGAAGACGGACTTCGTGTCGTCGGCCGAGTCCATGTTTGTTCGCTTCGAGAGCAAGACAGGCAGCTACTCGGGGTAAACGACTTCTTGTGTTTGTTGTATTTTTACCCTCCCCCTTTTTTTTGGCTCAGCCGCGCTCGCTCCCCTCCGCATGACTTGCTGGTGCGCCTCAGTGCACCGCCCTGCCCCGCCCCGCCTTCACGAGGCTGTCTGAGCTGCGCTAAGCATCGCTGAGCATCCAGGATGCGACGTGCTCGGAGTGGGGTCCGCCCCTACCACCCGGCGCCCCGGCGCGGCCCGGCCAGCGCGCAGCTCTCTGGCGAGCCTCCGGCACCAGCGCTTCGGGGGGTATTCTCACGCTCCCTACGCCGGAGTTTCCGGTTTCCCCGCCACCGTTCCCTTTGTTGCTTCAGTAGCCGGCGTCGCAAACGACGCTGGGGGCTCCGGGGCCTCGCGGGGGCGGGGGCAGCGGTGGGGCGGCGGCCAAAGCCAGCGGGCTCAAACCCAAGGGTGCCCGCCCCGCCTGCTCCGCCCCGCCGGCGGCCCAGCTGGGGACCGGCCCCTGTTGTGCATTGGGAGGGCGGTTGCCCGCCGCCCTCCACCCGTCCCTTTTCCCGCGCGGGGCAGCGGGGGCCCTGCCCTGCCCACAACGGGGCCGCCTCTACCCCGCCAGGACACCTAGGGGACTCCACTCTGCCATCTGTCAAGCCGTGGAGTCGACATCACTCCAACAACAGGGGGCGGCGTCGTGGTTCCTCGCGGGGGCTGGCCCGCCCCTGCGCGCGGGGGTGGGGGCGGGGCACGGGGGCAGATTGATCCATCATTCCCAACCCTCCGCAAACTTCTCTCTCCCCCCATGACGCCGTGCTGACGCCGTTTGCCCTCTCTCTCTCTGTCTGCCCGCAGGTCCTCGCTGTACTACTGGGCGCAGTACGACTTCTTCAACAACTCGCTGTCGGGCGACCGCGTGGGCGGCACGGCCTGCGACGAGCTCATCCCGTCGTGGCGCGCCTCTCGCGGCAGCGTCCGCTCGCCCACCAACACGCTCGTGTTCCGCGGCGTCGGCCCCGGCGGCATCACCTCGGTGGCCCAGGACGCCGTCCGCTGCACGTACCGCTTCGTCACGGACCCGCGCCTCTACGCCCGCGTCGAGGTGTCCGTGCACCACATCAAGTTTCGGGTCAGTAGTTTGTTTGTGCATCGTCATTGGCGGGGGTTGTTGTGGGTTTTTTTGGGGGGTTCATTTCCCCCTGCTCGTTGGTGCGGGTGACCTCACGCCACATCTAGAACTTTATGTCTGCAAAAATTTTCCGGGAAAACTTGTCTAGAAAAATTTGGAAAAAAATGAAATATTTCCAGGAATTTTCTTGACAATACTAATCAGACATTGTTTTTAAAAACTCTTGAAAGATTTTCCCCCAAAAAAACTTTTCTAGTCACGCCCTGGCCCGCTCGGGCCCGCTACACCTCGCCACTAGTGCGCCGCGCCGCCGCCGCCGCCCCATATCGCCGAGCTCCCGGCGCAGCCTCGCCACTCATAACCGTTACATGTTGTGGCCGGGCCGCGCCGCGCCGCCACCATACGCCCCTGGGGGATGTTAATTAAGCCGGCCTGCGCCACGACCTTCACGGAGGAGAAGCGGAGCAGCAGCAGCCCCGCCGGTGCGCTTTCCAGCTGGGGTTGGCCGTCGGGCAGGCCGACGAGCAGCGAACCTCCTCTCTGAACAGGGTCCGGGAGGGGCCTGCCGGGCCTGCCTCCCCCGACGGGCTGGTCAAGGCTGCGGCCCCTGGCTGCCAGCAGCGTGGACTGGGGTGTGGGGTGGGGCGGGGCAAGGCGGGGCGGGCGCCGTCGCTGGCACCGCACCCCCGGCCTGCTGCACACAATGGCGGCGCCTGGAAGGGCAGGGCGTCCCTGAAAGGGCGGGCGGGCGATGCCACCAAGCACATTTTAATTCTGCGACATCTTTTTCTCTCCCTTTTTTCGCGGACCTGTGACACGGAGGGGGAGGGGAGGGGCGTTGAAGGAGGCTGGTGGAAAGAAGAAGGGGGCGGAGGAGTGGGCAGGACAGGACGCTGCTCCGAACAAACATGCAATGCAAATACAGCCGAGTGCAATCTCGTTGGCGCCCCTCCCGCTCCCCGCTCCTCCCGGTGCGCCCCGGGCTGTGCTAGCGCCCGTGGGGCCCGGGGTCCACCCGCCCGCATGTCTTGACCGTCGCGACGCTCACTTAGGAGGCGAAGCGTCTGAATCGAAGGAAAGCAGGAGTAAAATCCCCTTCGACCCTCGCAGTCTGGGCCGGAGATTGAGTTGACCAGTCGCCTCGCTTCGCAGGGAGCGCTCCTCCTCCGCTCGGACCATGGCAGCGGGGCCCTCGCTCGCTCTCTTCTTCCTCACCCTCACAGTCGCGTCGCTGTCGCTCTTGTTGCAGGAGGGGCCGTACTCGCCGCTCATCAACAGCTGCTGGGACGGCCGGGGGGACCGCCTGCTGCTGTGGGAGCCGCCGGCGGCGCAGGCGAGCGCGGTGCTGTCGGGCCAGGCCAGGGACATCCAGCCCGCCAACCGGTCGCTGGGCGGCCTGTGCATGCACCAGAGCGTCGACAGTGAGTACCGCAGCCTTGGTCAACTTGTAAACACTGTGCTGGTTTTCTGTTCAAAAAGTGAAACGGTGAGGCGAGGTAGTCCAGCAGCAGCTCCGGCGATCTTGCTACACAGCCAGCCGTCAGCGCCTGACCATCGAAGCATAGGCAACCAACTCAACAGCTGTGCACTGCGTTGCCTACCCATCAGTCGCCAGGCGCTTCCCTACCGAAAGACGCCCATTTTCACCTTTCTTACTCAACCATTTGTGTATTTTCGAAATGCTGAACTAAATTTTTGAACACAAACTTACAGCTGTATTCAAAAATATGTAGATTATGAATTTCTTCAAATTCTCACTCAACGTCTTGGTCCTATTTTACGTCTGTATTCCGCACTGATCATTCTCCGTGTCCCTGCCTGTGCAGACGGCAACATCCAGCTGGTGTCCCGGGGCCCGGTGCTGCTGCTACAGATGAGCCTGCCCTGGCCGGGCGCCGAGCAGTACTTCCGCCAGGAGAGCCCGCTGTTCGAGGCGCGCTACCGCTTCGTGCACGGGCCGCTGTGCGGGCCCGCGGCCCTGGCCGCCGCCTCCGAGGGCCAGCTCGTGTTCCCGCACCTCGAGGCGCTGGCCGTGGCGCCGCCGCCGCGCGCCATCGACTGCCGCTGGGAGCTCAACGTGCACTGGAAGAAGGACCTCTGGCTGCACTTCGAGAAGGTGCGGACGGGTCGCTCCACTTCCGATTATCTTTATTTTTCAAAAAAAAAAAAAAAAACTGCTTTGCACGTTTGAATTTAAAAACAAAATGCTGGCTAATTTTATATTGGTTTTAAACACTACTTGTGGGTTTTATTTTATTTTTTTACAGCTGACGTTCACGACGCACTCGTGCTCGGAGGCGCGCTTGCAGATCCTGCTTGCGGACATCCCCGGGGCGGAGCCGTGGTTCAGCAGCTGCGGGGACGGCGGCGAGCAGCGCAAGCTGCCCATCCTGCAGACGGACCAGCTCGAGGGCCCCGTCACCGTCACCCTCACGGCGTCCTCCCCCAACGCCGTGGCCTTCAACCTCCGCTGGACGGAGCTGCAAAGGGGATCGGCGGCCCTGGGCCGCCTGCAGGCCGCGGGAGGTGAGGCTCCCGAGGGTCCGCCCACGCCCACATCCTGAAAAATGTCGATAAAATTATATTTTCAATTTACTCGATTCTTTTAAAAGCATTTGCTTGGGAATGTTTGCTTGGGAATTTTGTGCTCAATCGGAGATCGTTTTTATTGATACAAGAACAATTGAATTCACTGGCGTTTTTCTGAGAGTACCAAAGGGTAAGCGGATTGACAGTGAACCAACCTTCACCAAATTCAATTGTAGTCCCTTCGGGTAGCTTCTCTTTGTTTGCGCAAGTCTCGGCCTGCTGTGGTGCACTCTCACATCAACTCACCTACCCTCTCGTCAACTCAGTGAAACGGGTTCTCCAAAAAAAAATAATAAAAAAAAAAAAAATTCATCGTTCTCGACTCATATTCAAGAATATTGTACCTGTTTTGAGAAGCACGACATGCTCTTACTTGTAACGATTACCTTTGTGCTCTTTGTTGATCCCCGTCCCTTTGTCCGGCAGCGGCGGAGAGTCCCCCGGGGGACCTGCGGGTCAACGACGACTGTGCCTTCATGTGCCCCGGCACGGCGGGCATGTGCATCCCCTCCCGGCTGGTCTGCAACGGGGTGCTCAACTGCCCGCCGCCGGTGCCGGGCGTCGCGGACGCCGTCGTGCTCTCGGGGGAGATGGCCACCTCGGACGAGGACCCCGCGCACTGCGCGCCCGTGCGGGACGACGGCTACCCGCGGTGGACGCTGTACGTCGGCGCGGCGTCGGCCGCCCTGCTCGCGCTGGCCGCGCTCATCCTGCTGTGCAGGGCGTGCTGCTGCTGCGGGAAGCAGCGGGACATCGAGGTGCCGTACTGAATCCTGGGACTCTACGAAAAGGAGCGTGGATACCTACCTGTGGCCCTTGTATACTGTGTGCGGGGAGCGGGAGCACTCTCAAATCCTTGTGATGATCCTCATAATTGTGTTCTTCCTGTTGCTCAACGTGTGCTTCGCTTCTCCTGACGAGGCGATTCCTCCGGGCCAAGCCTTGACAGACACTGTTCACAGTACCTGTCACAACTTTCACATCATTGAACCGGCGATGAAACCGACGGATGTAAAAAACTTTTAGTGTTATGTTAAAATGAAAAGAAAAGTCCAGGCATGCTTTGCAGCCTCAATGTGTTTTTGATAACAAAAAGGGCTTATGTGATGTATATTTGTGTTTTAAAACTGTAAGCAAAAGTTGCTTTCATTTTTAAGATTTAAAAGTATGGTTTGTAATATCACCACTTATATATTGATACTGCCATTTAAATGTGCTGTATTTTTACAAGCAAAATGATTTCTGTATATTTTTAGAATACAACCATAAATTATTTGGTTAAAGACTTCAGTATGTGCCTGTATGGAATCAATTGATGAATGGCTGGAAAATCATTTGCGTGTTACTTTGTTGTTATTGTAGATAGCACAATAGGGTATGAGTGGCGTGATAATGATATGTAAGTTAAACATGAAATAAATCTACGTTGTTATAAAAATTGTTATCACTAAACATGATTATGGCTCCCAAGACATTACATTCTTGCTTGGAAAAGGTTGCAACCATACCAGGAATGAATGGTGGGTAAAGAGGAGATGGTTGAATACGTGCGCTCGTTAAGCTGCGCAGGCCAACCACAGGCTCTCGTTGGTGGCACGCGTGACATCCACGCCACGTCTCTTCGTTTAGTACCTACAACCGATACAGCCACAGGCAGCTTCGTCCGAACCGATTATAGGCCAAGTCCACACGGTACCGCCAATGCTCACGCAGCCCAGGCTTACCCAGGCCACTAGGTCACGCATCTGGGGCTACGGCCGGCTACGGCCAGCCGCGCGCCCCTTCTTGGAGGGAAATCCCGGAGCAAACAAACCCAGGTATCCGACGGGACTCAGATCCAACACGCAATCTGTAGCACATATATTTCAGGACACATTTTGTCTTTTATCGAAGCAGTCAAAATAGAGCTAAAAGACACGGTAATTTGGCCTAATTTTTATTACACCACCACCCACGACGCCGTGTCAATCTAGGCGTGGGTCGATGACTGTCGCTAAAAACGTCTGGAGGGTAGGCAATGCTTTCCTGAATCGGGCCCCGCGGCCCCCTGTCCCTCCGAGCGACGTCCCTGTTTGTAGCTGCACGATTGTAGCTACAGCCGACAGTG